AGATGAACCCTAGTTTGTAGTATGTTTATGGGTCATGTGTATGAATGATTGTGAACCTATAATCTATGTTTATTTGATGTTTGTGGATAAATCTTTTGCTTAGTGTGATTGATTGTATTTAGTCTAGGTGAGATGTCTTCTAGGCTAGGGTTTGCAAAGACACCTCTTAGCATGTGATTGACTGTAACCCATTTGCTTAGTTGAAACTTAGATGATTGAGTAGTATCATTATGTGACATATGGGTTTTTGGTGTGATTGAGTTTATTACCTAGAGTTTTATGCTTCATATATGATTGATTAAGTTGGGGTTTGTCTCCCAACTCTTTCCTACCAGTATACAACTGAGTTAACACTAGGTGGGAGTTTTAGGGTTAGACCTAGTGAGCATATGATGGCTAATTAGGAGTAGATGAATGATCTATGAGTCTAGTTTGTAGACTAGGAGACCATACCCCTCCGGATTAGATGTACACCTGGGTAATACATGTGGGGTAACGTACGTGACCATCGGCTTGCCCGATTTGTGTGCGGGCGGATAGAATCCGTTTAGAGGAGGTAGCACATAACCCTATTTAGGTAGGTTGAGGTGAAATTGGGCTGACTAGCCTAGTTAGGAGGGGGATCGATGCCATGACCATTGCATCATTTTCTATCTTAGTGACATTCGCTCCTTAAGACACCATTATATTGTCGCTCGTATCAACCTATAGCTAGAAGAATTCAATCCTAGTAAACCACTTCATTTGTAGCAGTCTCCCAACCACTTGGTTGGTTGTTTAGGTAGGTTTAGTTTAGGTTAGGTTTACCCCCAACCTTCTGATTCGATTAGATAGTAGTTCAGAGTGAAGTAATAATAAGTTTAAGGTTCCCTTAGAATACGACCGAGCCACTTTACTACATTGCTCACTTAGTTGTACGTGGATATGTTAGGATTGACTAGTGAGGTAACTTCAATTGACAAATATAAAGCACACACCAGTATGGTAGCTTATATTTCTCAAAAATCAAACGTTCCCATTATATAATTATTTAAAAATGTGGAGACCGTAATAACAATAGTAACTTTTAGAAAAGTCAAAGCACATTTCATCCACACATTTTCATTAGGGTTCGTTTGGTTTCTCCGTTAAATTGGTGTATTGTCATCAATACATATATTGTTGAATTTGATGTATTGTAGATTACATCGTTTGGTATCTGTGTTTGTGTTTTTAATAGGTAAAAAGGAAAATCATTTTTTAATGAAAATGTCACTTGTACCCCCTTCTTTTCAATTCAAAAAAAAAAAATTCTAAAGGTTAAATTTGGAAGGAAACAATCTCAACTAGACAATCCCAACAATCTCAGAAAAACAATCATTCATAATGGGTGATTGTTCCGACACATCAAGTAAACAATACATGCATTGTCTGTGCATAAAAAACAGAAAAATGATGAATTGTAAATAATACAAGCACTGTAACAATCACAGAAACCAAATGACCATAATGTTTGGAAGTTAGGTTTCTATAAATTGATATATTTAATCAATGTATATATTATAATTAGATGCATTGTTTCATTATATGAATTTTAAAAATACATTGTTTGTATATTGAATGATTGTGGTGGTCCCTCAAACAAATAAAGGAAAAAAGTAAGCTAACAATCTCTCAAACACAATCTCTACTAAAAGTTGAGATTGAGAATCATTCATAATGAATGATTCTTGTGGTCTCATATGTTGTTCAAATACAAGCATTTTGTTTCATTTTAAGACAAAAAAAAACGACAAATTCTTCTGATTACATGCATTGGCTAAATACATCATCTGAAATCGCAACTTTCAAATGATAGAACACAAACAATCACTTGTGCACCTGCTTTTCAATGCAAAAAAAAAAATCTAAAGGTTAAAGTTGGAAGAAAACAATCTTAGCTTTTAGCTGAGATTGTACATTCATAATGAATGATTGTTTCTGCCACATCAAGTAAACAATACATGTATTGTATGTGCATAAAAAAAACAAAAATAAAATGATGAATTGTAAACAATACAAGCATTATAACAATCACAACCAAACAATCGAGGAAACCCTAGTTGGGTGGTTCCTCGTCTCAGCCCAATTTATTATTGGCAGCAGATAGGGTCAGTAACCACTTGGTTACTGACATGTCAGTAATGAATAGGGACCATAGATCTAAGAGGTAGACAATCGTGTGGTTGGGCCGGATGCTGAGTGAAGAAGAGTATTTTTGTCCGTTTATATATTAAATTCTTTATTTTATTTTATTTCGTATTTAATGGCTGCACTTTTAAGGAAGGAAAGAGAAATCACTTCTCTGCAACTTTCTATCTTCCTTCTCTCCCAATCTCTTTTCCAGATCCTCTCTCTTTCTCTCTTCCTTTTTCTCTCCCAATCTCTTTTCCAGATCCTCTCTCTTTCTCTCTTCCTTTTTCTCTCTCAATCTCATTTCTAGATCTAAATCTGCTCCCTTCTCTTCTTCTTTATTTTTTTTCATGACGAATAAAAATTGGAGCCACTCTTTTTCATTGCATTTCTTCTCTTCATCATCTCATTGGCCTCAATTTCGATCTTTCTCATTTTTTTGGCATTTTGGTGTTCTTGATTGCGGAAGAGGAAATGAGAGGCGACACAAGACGATATTTTTTCTCTACCTCCTTCTGTTTTTTTTCTTTTAGATAATATATATTGATATTATAACTCTATACCATATGGTATTCAGTGGTAACGAAATATATATTGATATTACCACACTATATCATATGGTAATGTATGGTATTGTGTGGTAACGAACTATATATTGATATTACCACACTATACCATATGGTAATGTATGGTATTGTGTGGTAACGAATTATATATTGATATTACCACACTATACCATATGATATTGTATGGTATTGTGTGATATTACCACACTATACCATATGGTATTGGGTGGTAACGTAATATATATTGATATTACCACATTATACCATATGGTATTGGGTGGTAACGAAATATATATTGATATTACCACACTATACCATATAGTATTGGGTGGTAACGTAATATATATTGATGTGTTAAATTCTTTTCATACCATATGGTATGGTCAATACCAGTCAATACCATATGGTATAGACTGGTAATAACTGACAATTTTTTTTATGCCAAAAAAATATCAAAGTGGATATCATTTTGAAGAGCACAATTAATCTGATCTAACTGTGAAAAAAAAATTAAATTTCGACTTAAAACGAGTGAGGAATCTTCCGTTAAAGATTAAGGAAAGGAAAATTAAATGTTTTGCGAGGAGAGAGAAGGCGCTGATGTGATCCGGTCAAAAGTCAGCCTCAGCAATAAATATGAGAAAGTGTCATTTTACTGTACTGCCCTTTTCACATTTAATTTAAATAAAAAAGTGTCTGACACGTGGGGACCATAGAAGGGGTTACTGATGGGTTACTGACCCATCAGTTACTGACCTGATCTGGACCCTTTATTATTAGGCCTTCTGCAGACACTACTCCTAGACCTCATGGACCTCGGAAAATAGCCCAACTTTCCCCACCCGCAGACATATCCCAAACGGCCCACTCGAATAAAGTGGTTCATATGAAAATTCAAGATAAAGATAGCCTGGCCGCTGGCCGGTTAAATTAAATTAAATTAAATTAGACCGCCAAGAAAACAAATTCAGTTTCGATGTGGACCGTAGATCTTAGGCAGGTCTCGGCAACACTAGATCAACTCTCCGTTCTTCTTCTTAATGATTGACCCCGCAAGTGAAATCTAGTTGACAGAGGCCCCTAATAACTAATAAGCGGAAGATCTCTGCCGGAAGCCAGACCTGCTCCTGCTCCGGACTTTGGTCGCTCTGTTTCTTCCTTTTTCCTCGTAATAGTTGAGGGGAAGATCGAAGCTGGCCAAGATATAGCCAGGGATCGGAGCAGCGGCAGCAGTTGGTGAAAATGGCGGGCTACGGGGATCCCAGTCAGAAAGTGGACTACGTCTTCAAAGTGGTGCTGATCGGAGACTCGGCCGTCGGGAAATCTCAGATACTCGCTAGATTCGCGAGGGACGAATTCAGTCTCGACTCCAAGGCCACAATCGGCGTTGAGTTCCAGACGAGGACCATGGTTATCCAGCACAAGAGCGTCAAGGCTCAGATCTGGGATACGGCTGGCCAAGAACGGTACTAAATTCTCTTTTTATCTTTATCCTTGTCGCGCGTATGTTCTAGCTGCCTTTTAAGCTTCATTTCGTTTGTGTTTAGGATTAGGTTTCCCGATTTGGCATCTTCATAGCTTGGGATCTGGTGGGTTTTGGAACTTGGTTTATTCTAAATTTTGATCTTTGGAGTAGTCGTTTAGCATAATATTAATCTAGTAAGTTTGTGGACGGTAGTGGAGTGATGCCAATCGTGGATTCGTATTTGGGCAAAACCCAGTATTTTGTCTGCCTCTATCGGTCTGTGTCGGATTCTGTATCAACTGCGTCATGATATTTGAGCATCGATGGCTGATTTGCCTGTGTAGCCACTCTTATTGCTCGATTTGTTGAATCTTGAAGGGGTTTTCTGGACTTCATATTTTCATCAGCTGGACCTTCCGCTATGCCATGATCAGATTTCTGTTTTTCATTGATAGAACAAAATTCAAAGGAAGACAGAACCCTACATCTTGATATCATTAGCCTCTCCAAGTACTTCTTTAGGACTCTATGAACAACCTGAAAAGGTTTGGTTGATACCCTGAAATGTCATGTGCTTTGTTTTGTGTCATGTGAGACCTAGAAGGCTAGAATATGTGCCGCCCAAGGCAGAGCTCTCAAAATCCTATCCATGGATGATTACTTTGATGTGTCGGTTTAATTTTCTTGTACCGAGAACTATAATACCCGTGCAGCTTGCAAAACCGGCAACTGCTCAATTATCCTTCTTTGCTTCGTGATCTGATCTATGCAGATACCGAGCTGTCACGAGTGCGTACTACAGGGGAGCCGTAGGGGCGATGCTGGTGTACGACATAACCAAGCGCCAAACCTTCGACCACATCCCACGCTGGCTGGAAGAGCTGCGGGGCCATGCCGACAAGAACATAGTCATCATTCTGATTGGGAATAAGTGTGATCTCGAGGATCAGCGCGCTGTATCCACGGAGGACGCCAAGGAGTTCGCCGAAAAGGAAGGCTTGTTCTTCCTGGAAACCTCGGCACTGAATGCAACCAACGTCGAGAGCGCCTTTGTGACTGTGTTGACCGAGATCTTCAACATCGTGAACAAGAAGAGCCTCGTGGCCGACGAGAGTCAGGGCAACGGTGACCCGGGGTCATTAGCTGGTAAGAAAATCGTTGTACCAGGCCCCGGGCAAGAGATTCCGGTCAAGAGCAGCATGTGTTGCACCTCATCGTGAAAACGCTAACTAGTATTGTAATCGTGGAAGAGTTGTTCGAAAGAGGTCTGGTGTTTTTCTTGGATAGCAAAAGTTTTGGAAGCGTGTGATGTACTTGTTTTGTAAATTTCAGGTTTGGCCTATTACGGTAATTGAACATTTCGTCCTCCGACTATGAGGCCTGAGCAGTTGTCTAGTGCGGTTGTGCCTTTGATTGTCATATATGCATACATATTGCAGTTGGCATTTTTTCTCATCGGTTTCACTCTCTTCATGTGCCTATTATGGACAAGTTTGTGCCCGGCTTTGCCTCTTTTCATGGTATTACCATTATAGGAACATGTGTTCCTGCCTCAGCCACTCCATTGGCCTGAATGGCCTCCACAGCATTCTTCATTTTTTTCCTCCCCGAGAAATGTCAAGAAAGGAAGCATAAAACATACGCAATCTTCATCCATCTTATACCTAGAATCTCCGATTTCTACTACGACAATTCAACTTTAATATCAAGATGCCAACTCTAACATAGACAAAGTAAAAGCTTTATGTGCCCTTCTATAGGCTGCCCACTTGACGACATGTGGAACTGCCCTACAATCTACATCTTAGGGAATTTATGAGACAATCCTGCAAAACTACCCACCTATGACATCAAACGATATGTCCTTCTCGAGTTGACGAATGACAATTTTAGAGAGACGCCTTAGAACACTACCCTAGCAATATGTCAGTATGGTGCAAGGGAAATGGCGATCAGGGATGGAAGAAGCTCTGCAATATCCGGTTTTGAGATCCCAAAGTGAGGAAACCATGTCGCCAAAAGTGTGCACCTACCCGTTTCTCGAATAACCAATCCAGAAGAGTAACCATCTTGTCAAACAGCAGTGTCAAAATTCATCTTCTGAAATCCCGGAGGAGGGCACTAGACAACCTGAGGGGAGGAATGACAGATGAGAAAGTAAGAGGGGAAGAGAGATGAGAAAGATTCTCAGACTTGAAAGATAAATTGGACGACTAGAAGACTAAAGTGTTGTTGTGTGAACTCAAAACCATCTTATTACGAGATTTCCAAATCTTCTATAAAACACATACACATTAGAGAACTTGGAATTGAGAGCGATCAAAGGGTAGGAAGCAACGCCATCCGTGACTGGAATTGGATCTTCGGGCCGACTGGTCGCTAGGGTGCATCTGAAGAAAATATTTTCAATAGTCTTGCGGTGCTTCCATTACTCCACATTTGAGATCGAGTAATAAAAATTATGCACACCAAATCATGACCTTAACGATGGCAATTACACCACTATTAGGTTGTCTGTATACTGACTCGGACGTATTCCCAAGGGATCAGCGATACACTAGCCTATTCCCATTAAGTTGGACTTTTATCTAGTTGGTCCTTGTTTATTTATGGTATTAAGAAATTACTAATACTAGAAAGAAACTAAGAGAAAATGATACTCGTGGCGAGCTACCCTCACGAGAGAAGATAGGGTGATAACTTCATAGATGGTTAGCACAATGCTAACAAAGGGCAAATCAGGAAAACAACAGGAAAAAAGCTGAAACTAATGCTTATTTCTAGGGAGACTTAAATCTAATTTATTCTCTTTCTCGCTCCACCGCTCCCACAATCACGTCTCTCTCTTTTCACTCTCTTCATCATCTTTCTCTCTCTATTCATTATCTTTCTCTCCTTATTCTTTACCGTCTCCCTCTTCCTTTTAATTGCCTCCATTATCTTTCTCTCTCTATTTTTTATAGTGAGTTTGATATAGGAATGGCAATGGGGCAGGTCCGGGGAGGGTTTCTTGGTACCCAGACCCGCTCCGTGGCAGGTCGGGTCCAGGTCGGGTAATTGATCACGGGTCGCGGGTCGGGGCAGGTCGACCCAATGGGTATGCAATTTATATTAAAAATATTCGTTATTTTTATTATAAGACTAAGAAAACAAACAATATTATGACAATTGCAGTTAAATTATTGGAGAAATTGAGGTTTTTACTAATTTACAACTTTCTTATAGCTAAAATATGATGCAATAAAAGGAAAATACTAAGTAATTTGACTAAGATTACATGTAAATTAGACAAGAACGGGTCGAGAATGTGGCGAGTCAGGGCACGTCGGGTCAATGAGACTACCCATGCCCGCCCCGCCCCGAAATAGGTCAAACAGGTCGGGTAACACGGGTCAGGTTGAAATTGCCATCCCTAGTTTGATAGTTGTAGTTGTCAAAAGTAATAGTGATTTTGAAAATAGTAGTGTTTTTTTATGGTCTAAGGTAGTGAATTTTCTGTAGTAATTTTAAAGTTAGTAGTCCATTTCAAGTTTGTAGTAGTAATTGGGTGTGCGCCAAACTGATTTTATGAATTATTAGTAGTAATTTTTATAATTATTTAGTAGAATCAATATTACTACACATACTATTATTGTCAATAATTATAAATCACTACTAATACCATGTTAATTTCATATCTGTAATTGTAGGATTAATGAAATCACTACTATAGAACCATTGCTACTACTACTATGATATCTATAAAATAACTACTATGAAATCACTATACTAATATTATAGAAATAGAACCACTACTACTATTATAGAATCACTATAAAATCATGGAGTCACAGATATAAAATAAAATAGAAAACTTAAAACAATCACCCTTCCACCTTTTATAACACTATTAGTGTAACAAAATTGCTACGACATCAAATGAAAAAAAATCAAAAAAGCAATACCACAAAAATTCTAGTTTAATGTCAAACACTACTAACGTAAACCAAAAAAACTATTTTCGGATCAGATCTACGCTACTAAAATAAAACACTACTACTGTAAACATTACTACTGAGAGATCCAACTCAAAATTCTAATTTACCGTAAAAGACTACTATTGTCTCCACATCTGATCTAGGGTTTAGGGTGGGTTTAGGGTTTAGGATTTAGGGTTCTTGCGATTACAAGTGAAAAGATAAATTTATAGAGAGAGGAAGTTGAGAGTTCTAGTATGGGATTAAATGTTGCATTTATAGGCTACAATCCAGTGGGTGGGTATTAAATGCGACGTGACCTTGGACAAGACGGTTGGCGCACGCTCTTGTAGCTCATGCCTATGACATGACAGTGTGACACCATGTCAGAAAGTGGAACGTCGTCGTGTAAGGGCTTGAATCCGCGCTTGCATCGCATATCCACCCTTTGCCTTAGCTTGTGATGGGTGGTTCTACTGAGAGCGCGTCTAGTGTGTGCGATTAACCGCGCCATATCCCCAACAACAATCATATATACATCCATCATATAATATATACATACCACAATGGTACATATGTGTACCATCATTGTATAATCTTATGTACTATCAAGTCTTACCACCATGGTATATACTGGTAATATATGTCTCAATTTATTTTTATTCCAAAATATAGCAAAGCGAATGTTACTTTGAAGAGGACGATTAATCTATTTTTTCTGTGCAAAAAATCGAATTACAGATATACAACGTTATAATCATTCCTCTGATTAATGTTACTTTGAAGAGGACAATTAATCTATTTTTTCTGTGCAAGAAATCGAATTACAGATATACAACGTTATAATCATTCCTCTGATTATATAAGCATACTAGAATTTGTAACGATGGTCTGGACCTATAAATTGTGGTGGATATAATGCTAGAAATCTTGAGCAATGTAAATGAATCTAGGTGTACATTATAGACGCACCAATAAGTCGCGGTGGTGTCGAAAGGAACTTATTGATGTTTTGAGTTGACTTATATACTGTGAGGTGTCAACACTTGCCGTTGGTAGCCGTTAGTTGCTTCTGCAGGTTTTTGGAGACCAACAAGAGTCATCTAGGCTAAGCCAAAAAGTAGAAATAAGAGTAAACTGATTGCTTCAAAAGCAACTCCTTATTGCATGATTGTCTCGCACTTGTTCATTCACAAATACATGGAAATTTCCAAAAAGAAACTACTAAGTTGCAGAAATTTTACAAGGCTTTCAGCTGGCATCATTCGTAAAAACGGCCCGGCTTTTCTGCTTTGCACACACACCATACAGACATTTCAGACACTCCATAAATAGAATTGAAACATGGCAACGAAGGCAAAAAAATGAAAATGTAATCCCCTAATAGCAAACAATAAGTAATGAACTCAGAAGACTACCAGTTCTTATCTAAGCTTGAGTTGTTAAAAGGGCACGCAGCTCTTTGCTTCTCCGAGTTCCAGCCCAAGTTCATCACTGCTCTTCGTATGTTGACACATAATACATGGAGACCCCCACCACAGATCACTTTGGGGCGTCGCCTACAATCCCAGAAAACCACGGTTGCCCATCCTCCTCTTTCTGAGCCGCTCTGCTATAATGAAAGCTAGCTCCAGAGACTGTGAAGCATTCAGCCTAGGGTCGCAGTGGGTGTGGTATCGAGAGCTCAAGTCATCAAAAGTGACCGTGCGAGATCCTCCGATGCACTCGGTCACATTTTGGCCAGTCATCTCGAGGTGAATTCCTCCTGGGTGGCTTCCTTCTTGCTCATGGACGTCAAAGAATGCACGTACTTCAGCCTGAAACAGGGATGATGGGGGAAAAGAAGATCATGAATTGGTGAACTATGTAAGGGCACCATGCAACTTGAAATTAGTGGCTGCTAAAAAGGTAGCAACTTTCTGATGGAGTGCTGTTAACCAAGTTAACAGAGAGATAAGAAGTTAAGAACATACCAAGATGTTATCAAAAGGGCGGGTTTTCAGCCCACATGGCGCCTTGATGGTGTTTCCATGCATTGGATCGCAGACCCATGTCACAATTATTCCAGACCTCCGCACGGCTCTGATCAAGTGGGGGAGCTTGACTCTCATGTTCTCAGCACCCATTCTGCAAATGATTGTTATCCTCCCTGGCTTATTGGCAGGGTTCAAGATCTCAATCAGTTTCACCAACTCAGCTGGGTCCATTTTCTGGCTCACCTGCATCACGAGTTGCCATCGCAAAACTATCAGTTTTGATCAAAGGAACATGATATGGAAGCAGCATTCATACAAATATTAAAGTTACCTTGATCCCGAGAGGATTGGAGATTCCTCTAAGGAACTCCACGTGGGCACCATCGAGTTGCCGAGTTCTCTCTCCACACCACAGCATGTGAGCTGAGCAATCATAGTAGAGACCAGATGTGGAATCCAACCTTGTGAGAGATTGCTCATATGGCAATAGCAAGCACTCATGGGAAGTCCAGAATTCAGTAGTTGTCATGATGGGGTGTTCTACTGTCAGTCCAGCAGCAGCCATGAATCCTAATGCCTCATCCACCCGATTAGCCAATTCTTGGTACCTATGAATCAAGAAACACAATAATAATTATGAAGAACTTGGAATCCAACTATAGTTGAAGGCTAGCTTCTAGTTAGACTTCTTTGGCATACCTATCGCCCTGCTCACTGCGCTCAGCGAAATCGAGATTCCACTGTGTAACCCTTTGCATTGCAGCATACCCACCAGTGGCAAATGCCCTAAGAAGGTTGAGTGTTGCAGCAGATTGACAGTAGGCTCTGATCATCCTCTGTGGATCCGGAATCCTTGACTTCTCATCAAAAGTATCACCATTGATATTGTCCCCCTTGTAGCTTGGCAGCCTCTTCCCATCTATTTCCTCATATGCATCTGACCTTGGCTTTGCAAATTGACCAGCCATTCTCCCCACCTAACACAAAAATTAATCATAACAAACTAATCTCAGTCTTCTCTCAACCAATCTCCTACCCTCGCCATTAACATGAACTCTTAACAGCTAAAATTCAGATTGATATCTCAATCCAACACCAAGAAGCCAAATACATAAATAAAAAAAACCAAACCCATCACCATCATCGTCATTCAGTTCTTTCTTCCTAACCTGCCCCGAATTAGGAAAACTCATAGCTAACGGCCTAATTACCAAGCAATGAACAAGAAACGGAGGGGGAGAAAACCTGAAACAGGACAAAGGGATCTGACCTTAATAACGGGCATTTGACCACCAAACATGAGAACAGCCCCCATCTGCAGCAAGATCCTGAAAGTATCCCTGATGTTATTGGCATTGAACTCCTTGAAACTCTCAGCACAGTCTCCACCCTGAAGCAAGAAAGCCTTGCCAACGGCCGCATCTCCCAATTTCTCCTCTAGACTCCTGGCTTCACCGGCGAAGACCAAGGGAGGGAAATCCTCAATGGTCTTCAAAACATCCTGAAGATCACTCTCATTCGGGTACTCAGGAAGCTGCAACGCGGTCTTGGTCTTCCAGCTGTCCACGGTCCACTTAGCAGGAGGAGAGACGACGGCGGGCGCAGCGACCGGGACGGCTGGGACAGTGGGGCCCTTGACAGGGTTTTTCGCAGGCTCGGCGGCGTGAACGGCGGAGATGGACGGTAGATTGGATCTGGAACCGCCGGCATTCCTCTTCCAGACGGACAAATTGGGTTGTTGGTGGGATTGGAGCTGGTTGTTGGAAGAAAGCGGGTGAGGAGAGGCGTAGAGGGACTTGGAAGAGAGGTTGGAAAGCGCCATTTCTGAATCGAGAAGAAAAGGTAGAGCTCTGTTTGGTGGTTGTGGATCGCCGGAGGGCAAGGGGAAGAAGACCAAGGGGAGGGTTGGTGGGTTGTGCGGCCCTGAAGAAGAAGAAAAAACAGAGGAGGCAAAGCTGAGGTTTTTATACAGGGAGGGAGGGAGGGAGGTTTTGCTTTTCCAAAATATTTGTTTTAAAAAAAAAAGGAATATTATTATAAGCAGAGAGAGTGGGGGAGTTTGGTGAGATGTTGGCAAAAGGTCAAAGAAGGGGTGGTTGGGGATTGAGAAAAGAGACTGGCCTTTCAGGGGTAGTTTGGTAAGCTCAGGTTAGGGAGCAGGGGTAGTTTGGTCAAATAGCGGAAGGTGGTGGCTTCGCCGGGAGACTGTTTAGTAGTACCCTTTGGTCCGAATATTCAGTGAACATATTTGATAAGGGCATGTGATGACTAGTAAAGTAGGGTGAGCTTGGTAGGGTGGTCGGATTTGATTGTTTTCTGATTTGTTGGTTTTGATTTAGGCAAGAAGCAATTTGACGTCATCGTAGAAAAGCATATAGTCAACATTTCTACGGCTCGATCATGATATGATAATCAACGGTGTTGTATATGTCATGATAGTTATCATAAGGTGGTTTACGACATGGTGGTGATGCCAAATCGGTCATCTTAATTCGACGGCAGCTCAGTCAGCTTAATTCTACCATGATAGTTGTTACGTCATCAAGTCATGGTTAACCATTTGTGTATCACATACTTGTAGCACCATTGTGGTTGTTGGACAATAACCTAACAACCGCGACATGGTAGTCGCGGTCAAATCAACCATCACAACCCTACAAATAGAGGTCGACATCATCAGGTTGTGGTAATTGATCCCCTCCTCATTGTTAATGATAATGTCACAACTTGTTCTCCGCAATACCCATAGCCCAAAGTCTATCATAGTGGTTGACAATTCCAATTACGACTCGATATATGTTACAAGGTCGTCGACATAATCATCTAACCAATGGTCGCATGCCACCATGACATGGTCGACAACTCACGATAGACACATCGAACACCCTCCCCAATTTCACCATGTTGGTCAGTAAAGGTACCTAGCAGACTACGAACCCCACAAGTCACAAGTAGCTGGTGACACACAACATATTGATACGACAATGTTAAAACAATGACATTGATAATGGCATTAACGGTGCAAAATCCAAGATACACAATGGCGGTTCTAGTCAAGTTGGAAGATTATGGTGGTAGTCACAACCTCAAAATTTTAAAAGTGATTGTCCATAAATGTAGATAGTAATATACTCGCGACTCTCCAAAAAATGAGTATCTATACGAATATAATAAGTTAACATGAAATTGAAAACATAATAATGATCATAAATTCTACTAAACAAATGTTTATTTAATTTTAGACAAAATACACTTTTATTTTATGCATGTCCACTCAAAAGACCTAAACAGCAAGAGTTTGCCCCAAACAAAGTACAAGCTTCTATGTTAGGAATCAAATTGGAAGATATACCTAGAATCAATGTACATCCTATTTTCAGGAAATGATCACTTTGATCAAGTCAAACGAACCTAACTATTACTTTTCTTTTATTTTCCACAATCCTAACAATCATATGTGTGGGTGTCATTAGATCATCGATAACGATAAGTAGAAGATTCAATAATTATTTGGTGAACTTCTTATGTGCATTGTCAAAGACTCAAAGTTGGTGAAGTTCACCTTTTCCCTCCAACAATCCATACGAATGAAAGATTTAACATAAGCAATAAAATAAAACGCAAACCTGCCATACCTACCGGCCCACCACCACTTGTCGTCACTGGATATCTTTTCCCATTTGTGTTGCCTTACCTACCCCCGGAGCCCAACAACTTAAACCCCCTATCGGACTCTCGGTTGAATCCGATCCGATGTAAGTTGGACTTTAAAACGGTATTTAGAAAATTCCCTGGTCTGATCTCTGAAGAGGGAGAAGAGGAATAGGAACGAAGAAAAGGAGATGGTAGGTGGGTCATGCAGGTTAGGTAGATTTATTTTATGGAAAATAAATTTTTAAGAGATATATGTAAGATAAATTTCATTTCAGTCATTAAATTTAAAATTACTGCCTTAGTTATATCTATATTTAGAAAATGGCTCAAATCGGCCGAACCCCGATCAGACCATTAAATCTCAAACTTCTTGCTTGACCAGCTCAATGACTTAACCTCGTTTGACAAACCTTGCCAACAACTATTCATTTGTTTTCTACCCCTAAATAAATACTTTGCTGTGTGACTGTGATGTACTTCCCTTCTTATTTGTATGTCAAATAATCAATCGGTCATTGGCTCCTTATGTCGTACTTTGGGTTGTTGCGTGAGGGAACGTGTGGCGCCAAACAAAGAAATACCGTTTCAGAATCATGAAATTTTGAATATCTGGACTTGGAAAAATCTTTGAATTTCAAAATTATGAAATTGGGAACAGAGATTCTTGGACTAAGTTGTCTATTTTGAGTAAATATAGGAGTAAATTGGTTGATCACTTAGATTCCATATTTTTTTATATAAAGAAAGACAATACTATAATCTTTTATGAAAAGAACGAGTCTAACCTTTATTACAACATCCAGAAGTCATTTAATATCTCATCATTTTTTTTTTACTTAAACGTTTTTTTCATTTCCCTTTTGTTTGATGCTCATGCTAGGATTAGGACTTAGGAGATGGTCCCGATTTTCCGATCAAATTTAACTTCACACCGTTTAAATTGAGAACGAGAAATCAAATTTAATCCAATCCGATCCGATCTAGTCCACGGTCATCATATTAGCCAGAAAATCGGTCGGTCCAATTCGGTTAGAAATTAAAACTTATACACATCCCAGACCAACCCATATATAACAGCCTCTCAAACCCAACCCAACTCATTATAATTCGGCTGAAAAAAGCCCGACACAACCTCATCCCAGAGCCCATAAGCCTGAACCTAATCCTATTCGCCGCCTCCTCAAATAGACATATAATCCACTTTACATATAGGTCCAACGTGTTTGTATGATGCTAAGGGTCATAGGGTAAAAAAGTGACACGACCCTACCTGATCCTGACCCGACCCTAAGCTGACTCGACCCTAAACTGATCTTGTAGACAAACGGACCCAGCCCAACCCTCAGGGTCAGGGCGGGGCGGCTCAGTGGTTTTAAGGATCAAAATTACACCCCTACGACAGGTCAAGATCTTGCGTCGTTCTCACTTTCTGCAAGATTCAGACAAGTTCACCATGATTCTCGTAGAGCAACGACCAATCCTCTCTCTATCTCTCTTCAGTCTCCATCGGCATCTGAACTCTAAACTCACAAAATGGTGGGATTCGTTATTTGGTTTGATTGGCACTGACAAGTAGAACGGGCATAAATAGAAGGAATGAAATTTATGAAAGTAGGGGATGGGAACGTGGGTGGATAATTCGCAGTTTGACATGGAACTACACACAAATAATTCGAATTAGAGTGGTTGATTGATTGATGTGAGTGGATTATGGATTGGTAATCTCTTAACAACATTTATTTGGGTGGGTGCTTTGTGGATCACTCGAATGATCCACACCATATAATTACCTAAAGTTGATTTTTGTTTATACTATCGAATAATATTTCCTAACCACACTACACACTGACCATCGATTTCTAAAGGCGGTGTATAAACAATATTTTTGGATTACTATTATCGGTTACTACGTTGTGTAATGTCCATTATATATTGGGATGCAAATTATAAACTATTGATTGTATCAAAGTTGCAAAATGCGTCAATTTGCTTCAAAATTGGTTGATGGAGTAATGAAAATTTTGATGCAAATATTACACAGATCCATAGGATACAAAATGGGAAGTGTTTGAATTGCTACAGTATTACTAACCTGTGAAGAACTTATTGTAAGTGTTAATCAACTTTCTTAATGGTTAGTTGGAGAATTTTTTGTGGATTAACCCATTACCCAACCGCACCCATCCGCCACCCACCAAACTCAACCAAAGAAGAATGTGGGTGGATAGCAGGTCACATCTATACCAACTCTCTACTAAGAGGGTAGATCAATTTGAGACCAAAATTCACCAAACCAACCTATTGGCCACCCTTAGATGGAAGAACGAGTAGAATCGAAAGCATCAAGAGATAACTGTAGATTTTTATCTCATTTTTAATGTGATTCTAAGTTAAACAATAAAGTTTAGAAGAGAAGTGAGCCTTTTCTGTTTTTAGAGTAAAACCATACTGTTTTCAATCTAATTCGATCACGACTAAGTTGAATTCGGTTAAGTGTGTAATCTTCCAAACGAACCGTTTTTCACTCTTGGCTCTTGCCCTTCTACTTCAACCTTTCTTTCTTTTTTAGGATTGTGACTTTTTTTTACTCTATCAACTATTGTTCATTAATCAAGGTTTACTAATATGAAAAAACTTGATATGAGAAAAAGAAATGTATATCTATTATCATCAACATGGTTTCTGAAATCGTACCATATTACCGAAAAATACCAGTACCGAAGGGTAAACCGATAGGCAGTATTTAACGATATTAATAGTTGAATTACAGTCAAATATAGGTTACACCATAAAATGCCTCACCACTTACTTTTCCGATACAATTGACTTGCTACTAACTACTCAATCCCAATCATAGGCCAAGCGTAACCTATAATCGGGTTTAGTATAGAGAAACTATCTTCACTTGGATGATTATCCCCCTAGTCTCGTGTTGAGATGAGAACATGATACTGTAATATGATAGGCAAGTTCATATACCATAAGGAGATCTAAAATAGCTAGGACTCTTTATTCGAATGCATCACAACCCACTTAATCGGTCTAATTAGAGGGGCGTATCACGTTACCGCAAAAGACGACTAGGGCAAATAATTTCACTCCCAACTCGGAACGGCTTAGAGTTACCAATCACAGTGATTCATGGCAGTCTACAATGATTGAGTAGTGACCCTAGTTGCCATAAGGGGATCTTCTCCCTCCTGTGTCATTTTGCCCCAAAATGGAGGGATCTGATCAAGAACACTCAATTTGCATGAAAATACTTCAACCAATATATAATCCACAATACCCATCAACACAAAGAGGTCACATACATCAATCTACAACATCCTAGACTAGGGTTCACATCATCCAAGTGAAAAGAGAAATTGCTCCATAGCTAGAGAAATAACAACAACTAGAAAAGATGAAAACGCCATGGAAACTTGATTATCCTTCTTCCTAGTTGCTTGGATGGATGTTTGGAGATGAAATCTGGCCTCTAAATGGCTTCAATAGGTCAAATATACCTTCAATTTTCCTTTGCTTGTAGCTCTCTCCAGGTTATGGAAGAAGAACACCAAACTCTCTCTTTAGAACTCTCCCCTAAATTTTTGCTCCCTCTAGCCTGCAAGTGCGTGTTTCACGGTTGCACATTACGCCCGTGAATTGTCTAACAAAAACGTGATCTCAACACAAAGCGCGTCATGTCATAAACACACTTCACAGTTTCTCTACTGACTTCACGGTCTGGGTCTGTG